TGCGTTTCAAGCACATGTTTGATCCGGAGATAATGCGCATGTTTGTTGCCGAGCATCTCCCAAACCTCACCGCCGAGCAACGTCATGTTTACGATAGCGTCGTTACCAGCGTGTCATCAGGTTCGTCTAACGTATTCAAGATAGACGCGCCTGCTGGAACGGGAAAGACATACACGGAGAGCGTACTATGTGCCCACCTACGATCACTTAGTAAATTAGTGCTCTGTGTTGCGAGTACGGGTATCGCAGGTCTCCAACTACCTGGGGGGGGGTGGACTGCGCACTCCATGTTCAAACTACCACTCGATGAAAAGAATGTCAGCGGTGCGACGTGCAATATCCCCGCTGAATCGCAACGAGCAGAAGTATTACGGAAGTGTGACCTTATTGTTTGGGACGAAATCCCAATGAGCCATCGTTTTTCTGTCGAAGCTCTTCATCTAACACTCAAAGATCTTATGGGCAATAACATGATCATGGGAGGCAAGACTGAAGCGATCATCTATCATGTTGTCACACGACAGACAGACATGCACGTCAAACGGGCATCCTCAACGACACATAACTTCCATTTAACCTTCCACGATCCCCACACGTACCGTCCCCGTGTACCTTGGGACTCGCTCCATTGGGCGTGGCGGCGTAAGCCGCCAAAAAACTTGTAGACCTATATTTTTTGTTTTCGCAATCACATGACTGCAGTATGCATCTTCAACTCGAGATATCCATACGCCGTAGGTGGGAGCTGAAGGCAGGGCGTTCTCCCTCTTGCGCGAGAAAAGCTAACGCAACGGGAAAGAATGAAACGGAACGTCGACCGAAAACGCGGTAGGGAAAGAGTTTGGTGCAAGCAAATACGGTTTGAGTACAATAACAGTTACGGTTTCATCAGGAGTTCCAAACGTCAGAATTGAAGGATTCCTCCGTATCACTTGGATTGACTGGGGTCTTAAAAAACAAGACATCGGCAGCTTATGTCAGACTGCGTTCAGTCTCGATCAACAAAGCACTCTGTTGTTGTAGCACTACTGCTGCACTGCTGCTGCAGCGTCCACGTTGGTACGCGGAACCCAGGTCCACGATGGATTTCTCGCGGCATTCTTCCTGCTGCTCGCCATGGAATTCTCGGCTGGTCGTCATGGGCTCCCTGCTCCTCTGCTTGGCGGCATCCAACGCGCTTCTTGTCTCGAGAAGCAGCAGCTCGATCGCTACCGCGGCGGCGGCGGCTGGATCTCGGATTCAACCGCTTGTTGCTTCGGGCTGCACGAGGTGCAGGACGCGAGCCACCTCCGCCACCATGGCCCTAGGCCGCAACTCCTATCGCTCGAGGCCTGGGCCCGGCAAGCAGGGCCGAGCAAGGAGGAGCGGCTGCGGCGGCACGCCGGGCGGAGCCGACGGCCGACCCGGAGTTCGGGCCAGAGCGAGAAGGGCTTCGTTTGGAGAGTCGGGGGCATCAACCCGCAGGAGGGGAGGGGGCGAGCCCCTGGGCTTTTTCGATGTCGGTGATGTGGTGTGGGGGGTATCCAAGCAGCAGCGCTCGGCAGGAGAGAGTGGTGCCGGCTTTGGCAAGCAGTACCAGCCGACTCGCACATCAGGCGGCACGTTCACGGCAAGAGGTGCTTGCTGCTGCGTGTGATGTTGTTGGGCTTTTCAAACTGCCGCGTTGCACAATGTATGTGTACCCAGAGAGCCGCTGCACTCCAAGCGCACGCGACAGCTTATGAACGACACCGGGGTGTGAACTATGCCCATCACACCCCAACAGAGCAGTGGCAGGCCCGAGTTTGTCGTGTTTCCTGGCTTGGTTTCGTCTCTCGTTTTCTTGGCAAGCTTTGCTGTTTTTTAAATGCCGCCGCAACGCAGTCCATTTGTCGTTTCTTCTTCCTTCTTTGTTTCGTTCCACGCCACGTACAGCAGTCCCCCGCTCCGCCGGCAGCAGCACGGCTGTTGTAGCCAGCGGCAGCAGCTGGTTCTAGAAAAAATCGACAGGCTTTGTGCCAGATCATCCCGAGAGCTGCCTCTACTACTGTACACTCGAAAACCCCAAGAGAAAAATGCCTCGCCGTTATTTTTATGATCATGCAGATGGCCGCGCTTCAATTTGAACGCAGCCTGTCGGGCAGCATCCGTGAGAAAGAACAGCCAGACAGGCAGGCCGTATGCATATGAATGTAGTTCATTGCCGAGGTGAATCCTGGCCTCTTCATTCGCAGTGGATGGAGATGAATTATGAAGGGATGTATGTGATTTTGTTTTTGGAAGAAGACAAACACCTGCAGCAGGCTATGCATACGCCATGTACTCGGAGTGTTGTTGTTTTCACATTAAAAACCGTTCCGATCTCTCTCTACCCAGTACCTTCGTATGGCCGTACAGATCCAACACTCGACGCGGTCGATTCTCGTGGTCACAGGTTAACTTACCCTAAAAAGGTACACTCAAATAAACTGGCCCCGAGGGGTCCGCAAGTCAATAGAAATCAACGACAGATATTCTGGAATCCTCCACTCCCTCTGCGCGCTATGCAGGGTATCAACTGAGACTACTAGCAGTCACTATCTATCATGGGCCGGAGAGAAAGAGGTACACCCCCTGGTTCAATCTTGGTACTTCACAACGCAAGCAGAGACCAGGCCATCTGGCACAAAAAAGAGAGAAAAAAAGAGAGAAAAAAAGAGAAAAAAGAGAAAAAAGCCCCAGCAGAAACCAGACCACCGTACACCGAGCGCTGTTACATAAATAAAAAAAGCGAGATGCTGTTGGTTTGTGCCTCGAAACCGTCCGTATGCGTGGTACCAATTGAAAATCAGCAGCGCAGCCTTCCTGAGGGACGGCATCGCACAACAGAGACGCAGCCTCGCCCGTAGCCTGCTATGAATCCCAACTCCCATGAGCCTTTACATCACCACCGTGCCTCACAAAACGTGCTCACCGCATGGTGTGGTGCCATTGTTTTTTTCTCGTGGAATCCGTGATTCGTTTTCTTTCAAGCGTGGCCCAGCTTGCAGAGAGTCTCAAAGTGGCACACAGGCGCGCCCGCGGCACGCTTGCCGCTGCACTGCTGTTTGTTTTCCTTTCGCAGCCAACAAAACAGCAGTCCAGCGTGTATTCCGTGGCGTCATACAATGTATATTTTTGTTTCGTCCGCTTAAGGAACGAATTTATCCGGGGTTTCTTGCCTTGGGCGTCGAAGAAGTGGGAGTGTTTCGGTTTGCGCATACTAGATCTCTGTCGGTGTTTTGACCGCTGTCAAAATCCTTCTCTGTCGGTGTTTCATCGTTGTCGAAAACCTGAAAGGCGCGAAGGCCAAAGCC